ACTGGCAATGCATGGCTGAGTGTTGATACTTTTTTGACATCTGAAGGAGAATAAATGGCAGTGGAGTTAAGAATGGGAAATTCAGAGCGGGCACGTGGATTTCTCAATTGGAGTGTGTCACGTTTCAGTGGACTTAGTGGAGATCTCTGATACGTATAGAGTGCTTTGGTACTTGAGGCTATCTTGAGATTTTAGATGTTTTGACCTTAAAGAAATTCCTGCTCCTGAACACCAACTGCGTGCCGGGCAGTTAGACACTGAATGTACCGGTTGAGGAGTTAGGCTGTAGGAGTAGGAACAGAAGAACCAGTAAACAGCAATCCTCTGTCAGTCACAGTGAGTCCTTCAGGTAAAGAAAATGGAGAACGTCAGTTTTTTATGAAAGTGAATGTTTTGTAGCTGGGATGGGGGTGGGGTAAGAGTGGAATTTACGTAGTTGGCACAGATTGGAGTGTGACCACAGCTGCCAAGGGAAGGATGGGACAGAGTCAGTCACGTGACAGCCCAGGGGAGGGACATTCTGGACAGAGAACAGGGTGTCACATCTGGTTATTGTTCCCCAGCACCTTAGAGTGATCAGGAAGCAGCGAGTGGGTAAGTGTCCTTATACCCATTTTTATTGTTGTGTGTAGGAAAGAAAATGTGCATAGTGAGGACCTGGCACGTACGGAGGGTTGGGAAATAAATGTCCTTATCCTTCCCTTATGGCAGTCCCTGTGCTTTTTTGAGGAGTTCCATAACTACATTTAAAGTTTTTTGCTGTTATTAAAATGTCAGTGTTTTTCTTACTACGTTGCTAATTTAGTCAGCTAGTTTTCTTAACTATTATGAAAGTTTTATCAAATAATAGTTAGGTTGTGCTAAGCCATTGTTTCCTGAAATGAAGCAGCTTCTACAGTGTTCTGTCAGGACTCAGTGTGACAGACTCCAAGGTTTGTTTCATGCCAAGGATCTCATTTTAATGCTAAATCCGTGTCTGTCCTTAGAAATATTTTAAATTTATAGCAAGTATACTTACTAAAGTATTTGTTTAAAAATAAGTGTATTTTAAATTTTGGTTTTTTATGGAAGTGTAGTCAGTTTACAATGTTAGTTTCATATATACAGCAAAGCAATTCCGCTTTACCTATAAAAATACATATTTTTAAAAATGTCTCCCTTTTTGTGGGGGAATTTAAAGTGGAGATAGGTGTTTTGAAGTTAATTCTTTGTTGAAATTTGAATATAAGTCAATATTTTGCATGTGAAAATACTTGCCCTGGCTTTCCATGATCAGTTTACTGAATCAAAAGCCAAATGAAGATAAAAGATAGATTTGATCTAGAGAATATAAAGTTTTCTACTTAAATGTTTGACTTCCCAAGATATTCTTCCCTTATTTTATGTCTAATTGCTTTTAAAATAGGAATTTTTTTAAAGTTAGGAATTGCAGGGATTTTCTTACCAAGGGATTAGGAAAGCTTTATACAACTCATTATTAATATTGATTTTAACAGAGTATCTCTGAGAGTCAACCACAGAAGTTTGTGGATAATTCATCTGGAGCTGCAGGTCAAACAGGAGAAAATACATTAAGTGAACAAATAGAAGGTAAGAGCTGTATTTTATTAAAAAGTCATTTGACAGAATGTTGACTTCAGACATGAATTCTGATACATTCTGAAAGCCAAAGAAAATCACCTGGTGAAGATACAGTGAGGGGAAAGGTGAGAAAGGAGGTCAGTTGTATAACTCAGGCGTCCGCAGCAGGTCAGACTGAGATGCCGCTCAAGGAGCTGAGTTGTTAGTTTCACTTCAAGATGGTCTGTGACCTAGGGCAGTCAGGAAATGAGAAGGGAAAGAGGGGATGAAGAATGAGGCAGAGGGGACAGGTAGTAAGTGAAGGGAAAGGAGGAAGGGGCCTGTGGGGGAGGGTGGGAAGGCAGAGCAGTTCTTTGGAAGAGGAAGTGTCTGAAATGTGAGATGGACCTGAAGTGGGCTTCCAGCACCACAGCTTGTCCAAGAAGCACGAATGTTCTCACTGTCCTTGTCCTCCTCATTGTTAGGAGGGCAGTGAGGGCTGAGGTGCCTGATCACGCAGAGCTGGGTTCTCCCTGCCGTGGGTGAACACAGGCAGGTGCAGGCAGCTGTAAATGTCTGGACCTTCATGTCACATGGTGTGTTGCTGCCTTTAAGGATGGTGTCACCTAGGCCAAAAGAAGAGAACAAGGAAGAGGAAGAGAGCAGGGTGTGTTACGGGGGATGGGGGCCAGGGAAGCTGCTTCCTGATTAAGAGTCCATTAGAAAGTGTGCGCCTTTTAATGCAGTCTCAGGTTGGGGAAGCGTTACAGTGGGCACTTGAGGTGAGATTTCAGAAGGATCAATTAAGTCAAGTAGACTCAGTATAGACCAGAGTTTCTCAAATTGTAATTAGTCACCCAGGGACCTGGTGAAAAGTGCACGTTCTGATTAGCAGGCCTGAGATTCTGCATTTCTAACAAGTTCTGAGGTGACACCCTTGTTGCTGGTCTTGAGACCACGCTCAGAGCAGCAAGAGGGTAGACGTGTGTTTAGAGAAATCTGGAAGAACAGCCTCTGGAGAGCTCACGACGTAACAGCATCAGGAAAAGCGTGGTTTTTGTTTTCCTTTCTGAGCACGTTTATAGCCAGAGGGAGGCAAAGAGCTGAAGTAGAAATTACCCACGTAAGGTACTGTGATCAAGCAGAGAGGAAAAAGAAGTTGTGGGGGTCATCCATCCAAAGAATCCAGAAGAGGAAGAATTACGACCACAGACCTAGGGATCCCTTTGAAGAGGGGAGGATGCAGTGGAAGGAAGGAAGGAAGGAGGACAAAAGGCGGCAGGTAGGTGATGTGGGAATTGATGAGGAAACTTGAACGAACTCCTTTTAGATGGCGTCATACGTTTGCACTGAAGCAAGATTAGATTGTTGCCGCTGCAGAGAATTCCGGAAGCAGGAAGGGGCTGGAACTGGGGTAAACCACAACCACTGCTCACAGCTATTAGGCATCAAGGATGTGTGTTGCATCGATATTTGTTACTCGAATGAGATTAGTTTGAATATGGAAGCACTGGCTGTGTGTGGTTCTTTTTTAATGGTAGCTAATTTTTTGATAAGATGGTTGTTTCACAAAAAGCCTTTTAAACATTAGCATGAGATACCAAACCAATTTTGGGAACAAAAGAAATTAATAGGGTTCATTCCCTAAATGGTAAAATTGTTGTTCTCAGTAACTAACTACAGTGATTTTGAAATATAAAAGACTTTTAGTATCTAATAATTCTGTGGCAATCAAATTTATTTTTTCCTTTTTGAAAATCATATTTCGATGTGGAAAACTTAATCTACATTATTTCTTAGGTGTGTCTTATATACCATCTTGCACTAATGGATCAAGAAAGTTTGAGATGACATGCGAGACCACGTCCACCCCGACAGCACGGGCCCCTCATTGCTCCACCGTCGCCACCGGGCTGCACCACCACCAGTTTGCCATGGGTAATGACATTGCTGCGCTTGTGGTTGACAATGGCTCCGGCATGTGCAAGGCCGGCTTTGCAGGCGATGATGCCCCCCTGGCCATCTTTCCCTCCATCGTGGGACGCCCCCGGTACCAGGGCATCATGGTGGGCATGGGCCAGAAAGACTCCTACGTGGGTGATGAGGCCCAGAGCAAGAGAGGCATCCTGACCCTCAAGTACCCCATTGAGCATGGCATCGTCACCAACTGGGATGACATGGAGAAGATCTGGCACCACACCTTCTATAATGAGCTGCGTGTGGCCCCCGAGGAGCACCCCATGTTACTGACCGAGGCCCCCCTGAACCCCAAGGTGAACCGTGAGAAGATGACCCAGATCATGTTTGAGGCCTTCAACACCCCAGCCATGTATGTGGCCATCCAAGCCGTGCTGTCCCTGTACACCTCTGGCCGCACCACTGGCATTGTGATGGACTCTGGTGATGGGGTCACTCACACTGTGCCCACCTATGAAGGATACGCTCTCCCCCACGCCATCCTGCGTCTGGACCTGGCTGGCCGGGACCTGACGGACTACCTCATGAAGATCCTCACGGAGTGTGGCTACAGGTTCACCACCACGGCCGAGCGGGAAATAGTGCGTGACATCAAGGAGAAGCTCTGCTACGTCGCCCTGGACTTGGAGCAGGAGATGGCCGCCGCTGCCTCCAGCTCCTCCCTGGGGAAGAGCTACGAGCTGCCCGATGGTCAGGTCATCACCGTCGGCAGCGAACGCTTCCGCTGCCCTGAGGCTCTCTTCCAGCCCGCCTTCCTGGGCCTGGAAGCCTGTGGCATCCACGAGACTACTTTCAAGTCCATCATGAAGTGTGACGTGGACATCCGCAAGGACCTCTACGCCAACACGGTGCTGTCCGGCGGAACCACCATGTACCCTGGCATCACCGGCAGGATGCAGAAGGAGCTCACCGCCCTGGCCCCCAGCACGGTGAAGGTCAAGATCATCGCGCCCCCCGAGCGCAAGTATTCCGTGTGGATGGGCGGCTCCATCCTGGCCTCGCTGCCCACCTTCCAGCAGATATGGATCAGCAAGCAGGACTACGACGAGTCCGGCCCCTCCATCGTCCACCGCAAGTGCTTCTAGGTGGACTGAGTTTCCTTCCACCGTTCTCTTGACAAAACCTAACTTTGGTGGAAAAGGAGATGAGAGTGGCCTAGTTTTTTTTTTTTTTTTTTTTTCTTAAAAAAAATTTTTATTTTGGTACTTGACTCAAGATTTAAAAACAGTGAAGGTGACAGCAGGCAGTTGGATCAAGCATCTCCAAAGTTCTACCTTGTGACCGAGGACTTTGTACGTTTTTTAAAATAGTCACCCCAAATATCCTGAGATGCATTGTTACAGGAAGTCCCCTGCCTTCCCAAAACTACCCGACTTCTCTAAGGAAGTCCTTGCGGAAGCCCACACGGGAGGGTGATGGCGTTGCTTTTGTGTAAGTGATGTTCTGCAAATAAAAAAAAACTGTACCTTAATACCTGTTTCTGTTTGTTTTATTTTGAATGGTCAGTCCCCCTTTTTTGTCCCCAAACTTGAGATGTATGAAGGCTTTTGGTCCCCGTGAGAGTGGGCTGAGGCATGGAGGCAGCCAGGGCTTACCTGTACACTGACTTGAGACCAGTTCAATAAAGTGCACACCTTAAAAAAAAATTTAAGTTGGCTAAGCTAGAGGATCCAAGAAATATACGCACACCAGTAGCCCACATGTGTATGGGAAAAAATGAGTATTTTTATGAACTATTCTCCCAAGTGTGTATCCAAGCTGATCAACTCATAGCACTTTCTCTGATGAGAAGTGAATTACACATTCAAATAAAGTGTCGTCACAACTGTGTGCTTCCTAAGTTACAGTGGAATTGAAGAACGTGATACATCCTTGCAGTCTGATGGTGTCAACTGCATTAGAGATGTGCTGCTGCGTTAGTCTTCTTGGAGTCATGACTTACTCTAATTAAAGCTCACTTTTCTCCTCATCAGTCAGCATGTTCCCATTGGTATATGTACAGTTTTCTACTTTATAAAGTCATTTGAAACATAATCATACTTTTGAAATCTTAACTGCATGTTGTGTTAAACCTATATTCCTGCTTTTATTCATTATCTGTAATGGATTCATGTTTCTGTCTTGCTGCTATCTTAACTGCTCCTCAAAAACAAAACACCAAAACCTAACATGTTCATTTCCAGAGCAAGCATGAGGCTTACACTCAGTCCTAACTCTGCATGACTGTACAGTTGGCTTTCGTGTTTACATATAATTGGTTATGTGTCCCTTCTGTCTTTTAGATTCTACTGAAAAATATCCTCACTTGAAGGTAAAATCTTTTATACATAATTTTATCTTGAATTTTTTAGTGGGGGTACTGGGAATTGAACCCAGGACCTTGTGCATACTAAGCAGGCACTCTACCACTGAGGTGTACCTTCCCCCCTTGAATTATCACTATAGATTATATCAAATGTACATTATTTATTAATTTGTTTCAAAACCCATTCAGCCTACAGTTGGAGTGAGATTCTATTCGTAATAAGACAGGAGAAATGAAGGATTTACAAACATCCAGATGAGGTAAATTTTGCAATACAAATTTAACTCTGAAAAGAAGTACACTAAAATATTTTAAATGCTCACAGTCTTCTCATTTCTAATTCCTTTTTGTTTGCAAATTTAATTTGAAAGATGACAAATAAGACATGTTATTGTTACTATCCATGTTTGGGAAAAGATATTCACAATGTCAGCATTAGCTCCGAAGTTCCCATTTCTGTTGGGATACACTAATGTGCTCAGTTTGGCGTCCCCATACATCTTAGGGATTCTGAGAGATTAATTATTAGACGCTGAGGTTTTTTCCAGTGTTTTAAAATGCTTAATTGAATTCTGACCTTTATGTAGAGTAAAGCTTCACTTGCTAACATGTCAATTGTATTTCAACTTTAATTATTTCGTTTTAGCGTTGTTACATTGATGATTTTTTTTTATTTATTTAATGGAGGCACTGGGGATTGAACCCAGGGCCTTGTGCATGCTAAGCATGTGCTCTACCACTGAGCTATACCCTCCCCTCTCGAAATTTTCTGAAATAAATGTTTTACTCATAAACAGAGAGCAAAATGCATTCGTTTAATTTTTCCCAGTAGAATTTTCACAAGACATTACAACAGAACCACTTTCTTCATTTTATGTATTCAAGATTCTGTGCTAAAAAAATTATTAGCATAGAACAGAGCTTAACATTTTAGTTTTATAAAATGCAAGAATGGAAAGCTCATTTTAAGGAAAAATCCATTAAACTAAAAAAACCAAAATTGACTAAACTTTTATAAAGGGCAATTTTTCTAAGAATTGCAAGGTAATGCATTTAGTGTAAAATATGACTTGAACTGTTTAAGCAATAAAATCTGAAATTATATGTATTCAATAGGCCAATATTTATTGTACTTTTCATCAAATGAATCTAAATAGCATTACATATATATGTTCTCTATTATCTAAAACCAAAAATAAGCAGGAATTTATTTTATTTTATTCATGTGATTTTTCCATTTAAGCAATCCCCAAGTTGGATCTAGTCTCTAAAAGTATTATTTAAAAGTTACATTTTATAAGCTAGCTCTCTTTCCCATGATACTGTCTCTTGTTTAATTTAAACATTAGAAATATTATTTGACTTATTTCCAATGCAGCAGGAGTTGGGAAAAATATAACTAGAGAACTAGAAGGTATGTTGCCAAAATGTATGAATTACATTTAGACATTGACTTCTGAAATAAACTAAATAGTAAATAACATCTCTTTCCATTGTTTGAATAACAGACACTATATTACATTTTTTTATCCATACCTAGTGAAAAATGTGAAAACAAAACCATTCATAATGAAAAATATACTTACTCCTCATTTATTCATAATGATCCATAGCTTTAAAAAAAAAATCTCAAGAAGCCTATGTCCTCTGTTTATTTCTGGCTGTATCCTTTCCTCCTGCTGTCCTTGTGGGACTGTCACCCTGCACACCGACACTTCTCAGAAAACCTGGAGTTCATCAGCTTCTCGAGTTTCTGGTAGTGACTGAGGCAAAAAACTCAGACACAAGCAATCACAGTCCATGTAGCTGCCACTGGTGGGTGACAATTAAATTTCCTGTCATTGGTTAATCTTTGCCCTCAGGGAAAATTCCAAAGTCCTTAGCTTGGAATAAAAAACACATCAATCTGTTTCTTGCCAAAGTATTCAGATGTTTCTCTTTACTCCCCTGCTCTGCCGCTTTGCTCCAGCGTCTGGCCCAGCTAGACTGCTTCCAGTTCCACACGTGCCCTTCCCTGGCTCTAGTTTTTGTGTTTGTTTCTTCCCTCTCCCTCCCACACTTTGTCCTCCTTCAGGTACCTGCTTACATATCACTGCCACCAAAAGGGGGCAGTATTGGCACAAAGCTGGATGTCCCTTCTAAGTGTTCCAGTTGTGCTCCCTTTTATACCTGCTGTGGTTTTTATGACTCTGTATGGAAGTTGCCTGTTTTTCCAGTTTATGGTATGTGATTTTTCATGGTGGACTGTGTCATCTTCATCTTGCAGTTGCAGTGCTTCTCACAGTGTCTCACCACATGGTTATTGAGCCAATGAATAAAGAGTGAGAAAACCAGAAGCTGTGATCCTCAGCCACACGAGCAGGTAATTCAATGTTCAGCCCTGGGCAGATTCTAGAGTCGTCATCTTGCATTTGGTATTGTAGTTGTATATAGATACTTTTCATTCTTCTCAACAGTTAGAAAGTTCTCAGCTTTCTAAAGAACTAACATATTTAGTTACCTATGAAGTATTTTAGATAAAGAATCTTAATTCTTTTTCTTTCCAGCTGCTGCTGAACTTGAATCTGGATCCTTAGACCTTCCCCTCTAGGATCCACAGCAGCGCACGGAGAAGCCACTCTGGGCAGCTTTGTGTGGGGCCTCAAGGCTTACTCTCTCAGCTCTGGGCACCTCTGTTGCTAACCCTTCCTAGCTCTCTGGCCACTGGAAACCCACTCTGCCTGTTGTACCCTTAAGATGGGTTCTGTTTGTAACTCACTTCTACTCCTTGGAAAACAATTCCATGAAAACTCAATTGGTTTCCCCCCAGCTGTGGGCAGGGATGAGGAATAGCATATTATTATTTTATAAAATATATAAATAATAAAAGAAGTCATAGGACAGCCCTGGGCACAGCAGAGAGTCAATAATGCCTCCCGGCCTAAAGCAGAAGTGACGGCTCAGTGTTCCACGGCTGCCGGGCAGGGTGAGCTGGTCACTCCTTTGCACCCTTACACTTTTTTCTTTTTTTTACTGAGAAAGAAATATGTGCATATGGTAAAAAAAATTCAGAGCACAAAAATACACAAAGGAAAGGTTTCCCTCATTCTTTGTTGTCACTGTTTACAATCCTTTGTGTGTTTTTCCAAATAGGCTGTGCACATTCCAACCTACACATGTAAACTCCTTTAACATTTACTTATTTTTAACCTAAAGGAATTTAAATCCTTAAGTGACTTCTGCCCTGTGATAGAAAAGAACAAATCTGATTCTGTATTAGCTTTATTCCTTTGACTTTAACCCTGTGCCCTGTTTCCTAGGCTTAGACTTGCTGCTCTGCATCTTTTTGTAAAACAGTGTTGCCAATAGCCTGAAATGCTATAACAGGAGAGCCTGTTCTCAAGGCTCTGACCTTTAAGGATATTAGCGGTTTTACATTCATAAAGATAACAAGTTGAAGAAGAGAAAATAACTTTTGTTGGTTTTACAGGGGAACCATGACCTGACCCACATGGACAGCTACAAAAAAGGATTCCAAGAACAAAGAATTCCTCCACCAAGAAATTTGCAACAAGTGACCACACCCCCTCCCCTTTTCAGTATAAAGAGCGTGAATTGTGACTTGGGGAAGATGGTTCTCCAGGACATCAGTCTGCCATCCTCTCAGTCTGCTGGCTTTCTGAATAAAGTCTCTATTCCCTTTTGATTAATTCATTGTAGTTTTGTTCATCTTTCTCCAGTGACCTTTTCCTTTGTAATATGGAGGAAGATTCTTTTGAAAAGTCAGCATTATTTATATCAATTCCATTAGCTTGTCATCGTTTGTGCTTGTGTATTAGGACAGATAAACAACATAAAGAATAAAATAATTTCTACTTTACTTTAACAAAGGAAAATTAAAAGAAAAATCCCTTGGGATGCAAATAAATTTAGAGTCAATTTTGATTTAACATTGATTCTTTACAGCTCAAAAAAAGTCAGGAAAAAAAAATACAGTTGCTCTCTCCTTACCTTAAGCAACTTTTGCCTAAATGTTGAAAGTGATCATGATTCCTGATTCACCTTTTTCACCATGTTGAAACAGTGCTAGACCCTTTATGTTTTGTTCTCTCACTTAATCTTCACAACATACAAGGGAGTGGTATTATTCATACCACTTTAAATATGAGGAAACTGAGAATTAGGAAGATAAGGTAACTTATTCAGCATCACCACGCCTGGAAGTGGAGGGGCTGGGATGAATCAAGGTCTATCTGATGTCAGAGTTCATACATCATATGCATTTGCTATTTGATACAGATCTTTGTGTGGAGATTCTGTTTTGTGTGATCTAAGGTAACTTTTTTTTGGGTGGTGGTGTAGAGTCCTCAGGCTGCCCAGAAGGAAGCTCAAGTTAAAGTACTTGAAGGTCGGCTTTAACAAACTGAAATAACCAGTGATACACAAAACCAGCTCTTATCCCACATGTCGAAAGAGAAAGCAGAATTACATCCTGAGCTAGATGCTCTACCCGGCCATGCTTTACAAGGTAATTTGGATGAAGTTTTAGTTATATAAATTGCATAGTAACTTTGCTCTTTGAGTTTGCTATACTGTTGTCCCCTATAGCCTGACTGAACAGCTGCTGTATTTACTTGTGCTTTTAATAATCGTTCCTTTAATTTGCATGCATAACTTTGGTGGAGTGTAATTACTGTCATTGCGAGAAATGGGTAGCAACTTAAAAGGGCTTACTTAACATTATTGAGCAACTAGCTTTTATAAATAAAAAAATCAACCATGTTTCTGAATTGGTTATTTTAAATTGTTTAAAGTATTAACCAATTTCATTACTCTGCATATCTAACTGCCTTAAAAATAAATTTATAAGCGTTTGCTGTGGCGTCTGTTCACATACCTTACAAATGGTGCATAATCTTGTCTTACGTGGGGGTTTTTAACGTTGGATCTGTTTTGGTTGGAGTATTGCTTTTTGTTTCCCTTTTGCTGTTATTTACACAGATCCAGATGGCGCACCTTTAGGTAAGTATGTTTAGCTTCCTGTGTGCCTACAGCTGCATGAATTACCAATTGTTCATGCACACTAATTGTGGTACATCTTATTTTAAACTTTTTTATTGGCAGCCAGCTGGTTTCTGCATGATCATTTTTTGAAATGTACCTGTGACCACAAACATACTAAGTGTTTTGTCTTTCTTACACATTTCCTGATTTTTAAATTGTTAG